AAAACACATAAATCAGGACAAAAATATTTTTTTAAAGTAATAGTAGATGTTTGACTTTTTTAGTATATGATTTGTTTTTTTTTCCAGTTTCAAGATGGTAATCCCCGTCCCAAAAGGAGCACTTCTGGGACAAGGGGAGGGACTTCCAGTGGCAAAGGTCAGGGGTTAGGGATGGGACTTCCAATACCAAGATGGCAACCAGGGAGTGGGGCACTATTCAAGGGGTAGGGCTACTCTTACGGCCCTCAACAGCTCACCAAAACCTGTTAAGCAACCCTCCAGCCAAAGTATAATTGCCTACCCCTGCTGTAAAGCACTGGAAAAGAAGGAGAGTTTTGACTTTGTATATGGGTGCTCCTGCCACCACTCTGAAAACTCTCAGACACAAAGCTAAAGGATTTTGTGCTCTTTCTTCCCAGCTTTTACCTGTGGCACACTGTAAGGTGGATTTTGTTTGTAATGCGCTTTGTGGTTGTTAGGTGTGAGGGGTTAGAGCACATTATTTTTAAGACTCTTCAATTACATGATTACTTGTAAAGATGGGGACTAGACTCAATAACCCAAGAAGACTCTATTTGTCCCATGTTTCCACAGTCATCCCAGTAGCTCTTCTGTGCACCTCATCCAGTTGATCTCATCTTTCTCGAACAGATGTGACTAGAACTGTGCACAATATTCCAGTTGAGGTCTCAATGACTTATACAATCTTCTACCTCTGTTGGACAACTTGCCCAGGTCAATTTATAAATCTCAGTCTATGGCTGACCAACTTGCTTAGCTCTTTCTCTTCTCTACCATTTTCAATTGATGAGCCCCCAGCTTATGGAAGAAATTATTGTTAGTAGTCAGTAAGTTTATGATCTTGTACTCTGCACTGTTATGTTTCATCTGATTTCTATCACTCCAGTTCTCAAAGTCATCTGGTTCTTCCTGTATGATATTCCAGTCCTCCTCTGTATTGGTGATGCCTCCCAATTTTGTGTTGTCTGCAAATTGTATTAGTTGACTCATATTTTTATGCTAAAGTGATTAATAAAAATATTTAATAAGATCAGTGCCATGACTGATCTTTTCAGAAAATCCATTAATAAGCTCCCTCCAGTCTGACCTCTCCCTTATCAACACTATACATTGTGGTCTCCCCCTTCAGTCATTTGTTACCCACTTTACAGTTCTTGTATCAACCCCCTCCTCTATAGTTTAACAACAATTCCCCAAACAGCACAATAGCAGATGATTTACTGAAGTCAGGCTGGTATTTTCAATGGCTGAGAAAATTCTCTCAGAAAAAAATAAGTCCAGTCAGAATGTGATTATACTTGGCTGCTTGTTGAAACAAGTGAACAAACTAAGCTACTGTGTTTCTTGAGGAGCTCTTGGTCATGTTGCAATTTTATTACCATTAAAGAGCTGTTCATAGTCCGGTAGCTGAACAAATTTTTGTAAAGGGGAATAACTATCTTCACTCGGTTAATAATTAATATATTCTCCCCTACCATGTCCTTTGACTGAAATCCAGTAGAATAGAAGACTCCTATTTTCAACAGATTAAAGGCCTAGTCTTGCTATTTTTTAAGAGGGAGTTTGGCCACTGATTTCACTAGCAGCTGGACCCAACTGCAAATATTTCCTGTTTTCTTTATCTACCTTTAATCATACCTCAAATATTGAAACAAATGGTTTTAAAACCTAAGAATGCAACCATCCTATGCATCAAGAAAACAATGCCCTCCCATATTGCGTGTGCTCAGTACTAACTTAGCTAATCGTGCACTCTCCATTGTAGTTTCTATTAACCGATGGCGGAGGGTGACTAGCTCCAGGAGCCTGGAGAAGGAGTCCAGAATAAAGGTTTGTTTTCCTTTGCCTTGTTTCTTTTCTTCATCTGCTCCTGACTCAACTACAGACATAGCAATTTCTCTCACAAGGACAGGGTCATCCACCAATACATCTGAAAATAACTGCAAGGGAAAGAAAGGAACAGAGATAGGTACACCTTTTATATAAACATGATAAAAATATATATAATCCTTTTTTCACTTTTTCTGGAGTAATTACAGTGACACAGCTGGTATGAAATTGGAGCCAGTCTTCTCTGGAAACAATCTTGTTCCCACTGAAATCAGCTGGGGTTTTGCCATCTACTTCAAAAGGTAGCAGGACCAGGCCATTGACAGAAGATAGAAAACCTTAAACCCCAAATATGGCTTTGCTTCATGGTTTTAACAAAACCTGGCCCTTGGAACAGAAATGTTTTGTTCCAGTTCAATAAACAAGGGCAGTAGCCCCAAGCACTGACTTGGAGGTGGAGCATAAAAATAACATCCACTGCCGCAGCCGGGAGTTACTGCTGCCCAGAGCGCTGAGCTGTTTTCTTACACCTCAGGCTTGTCATCATTAACTATCAAAATAATTAATATTATATTTTAAAATATTAATATGGTAGAGAGCTACCACTAGCAAATATCTGCTAGAATATATATAAAGTCTTAAAAACACAACACTTCCAAAAATTTCAAAGGATATTGTATCACTAGTTCTGTAGTAGTTATAGTTAATGTAAATCTCTTATTCAGATTCATAAAACAAAATCTAGACATTTGAGCATCTTGACAGTGCTCTAGTACTTCACTGTCAGTCATTTCTATACGTGAGTTAAGATTACCATATCTGAATTAAGGTTTTTAGCTAGAGTTAAAAACAATCTGCATAGCTGTAAAGTAGAAGAGAGACATTACCAGGCAGTAGGGCCCTGAGAAAATTATGATTTCACAGACTGCGTGGAAACCACGGAATTCGCCCCACACCACAGTTTTTAAGAATCACGAGCTTAGATGGCAGAAGGCCGGGGCTAATGGGGCTTAGCCCCTTGAGACGTAGGGCAGCACAGAGGGCCACAGGGCAGCCCAGGCATGGGCTCCAGGCAGCTGCAGCAGGAGGGGAGGGGTGCACCCAGACAGACATGGAGCCTGCAGGCAGCTGGGATTGCAGCCAGATGGCATGCAGAGCACTGCCCACCACAGCAGGTAAGTCAGGGAAGGGAAAGGGGCATGGGAGAGGCAGATTGAGGCCCCTGGCATGAGGAAGGGAGTGGGCCAGATGCAGGGGCAGGGGCAAATGGGGTCCCGGGGAAGGTCATGGGACACTTGGAGCCCAAGCGTCTTATCCAGGGATGGGGGGAGAGGGGGTGTCTTGCCACTATGCGCACCTTGGAAGAGGCCCGGGGGGCACAGGATCCCCAGATTTGTGTGCGGGGCAAAGGTGGGCTGTCGTTGGGGGTGGGTTCTGTGCCCCACTGCCAGTGGCTCAGGAGCTGACTCTGGGAGCCGGCAGTGGCAGGCACATGGCATCACGCACAGCAGCTGGTACCCAGGGCAGCAGCAGTGGCATGCAGAGCCCAGCCTGCAGCAGCAGCCCACCTCCACCCCACACACCAATCTGACTAGGCTCCAAGCATCCCATGAACTGCCCTGGGGCCCCATTCACCCCAGCCCCTGCCCTTGTGTCTGCCCCACTCCTGCCTCACTGTGGGGGCCTCTCCTTCCCCTTCCCTGACTTACCTGATGTGATGGGCAATGCTCCACACAATCCCAGCTGCCTACAGGCAGCATGTCTGTCTGTGTGTGACCCCCCCATTCCCCTCCCACCACTGCAGACACCCAGAGCCCGCACCCAGGATGCCCTGCAGCCCTCTGTGCTGCCCTGTATTTGGAGGGGCTAAGCTCTGTTAGCCCTAGCCTTCCTCTGCCTATGGCTGTGTGCCTGCTTATCGCATGTACGCGGGTAAAGTATCATTTTTCACAGAATATTCACAAACCACCGGGACCCCTTTGTCAATATCAATGATAGTTCTGTGAATATTCTGTGAAAAGTTATACTTTACCCTTGCACGTGCCATGAATTTCCAACAAGAAAGCTGCTGTTTTCTCTGGGCCCTACCAGGCAGGGCTAACAGACAGCAAAATTGTAGAACAAAAGATAATCTGAAACATCAAGACCATTAAAAAGGAGTGTGCGTCATTAATACCTTAACAGACATTAAGGGAGATGATAATAGGCCATGAAGTCAATTGACTCTCTCAGCATTCTCTGAAGAGAAATGGGGCTTCCCACCCCAGGCAGCTGGTTTTAAAGTTTGGGTGGACCAGGAACCAATTGCACCTCTGCCCCCTCCTTGGATTCTCCCCAAAATAGCACCAACAAAATCTCAGTCCTCAAGTAACCATTGTAACCTGTAAAGGACCACTAACTGAACCTACATCTTTCTGAATTTGTGGGCTGTATAATAATTCCAGATTTTCCAAGGACAGCCATTCATCCAGAGCTAGCTGAAGTACTTTTTTATCTAGACTAGTTGCCTCGCTTGCTGTTTGTGGGCTACAGATGGTGTGGAACTCCTGGGAGAGGTGTTCAAGAGCTTTAGGGATTAGAGACACCAGGCCAAGAGAAGGGTGAAATTCCAGCAAATAAATGTTTTTCAGAGTAGGGCTGGAAAAAAAAAAAAAAAAAAAAAA